TTTAGCATATTTTTCCTCTTCATAAAATCTTTTTATTTTTTTACTCCTTTCTTTCTTGTCCTCCTAGAAATCTACCCAACCTCAGCACTTCACCGTGATGTGGAAAAACCTGCCGCTAAATACAGTTTCGAACTTAATGAGCATTGGCGGATCTAGGGGAGAGGGGCCTTTCGCCCCACTCAGGGGCTTAGGTAGCGGTTGTTTTACTGTACGGCAGTCTGTTCGGTACCCCTTGTCGCCTTCTAGTTCCCCCTCCCCTCCCTATCTCCCAGCAGCCTTACCAGTCTCAATTTAGTGTCCATCGGAGAGAGCGGGTTTAGTGTCCCTCTCCTTCCCCCCTCCCTGAAGGCCAACCTGGGTCCGCCTATGTTAATGAGGGGCTGCTTTTTAAAAAAGAATACTGCAAATAACACAAAAAATCCGGCACAGAGATTATTAAAAAGCACAGAATGTAGTTATTAGAAAACACAGAATGAGGGTGTCAAAACTTCGTACCTTCTGCAGCTCCATCCACTGTCCCTTGGCTAATAAAGAACAATATCCGACATTGCGGAAGTCCAGCGAATCGCGCATTTGAAAAGTGCGAGAACTGAGACATTTGAAGAATCTGAGCAGACATGAACCAATTCCACCCAGCTGGCTATTTAAATCATGAACTTCTGTGGGGTTCGCCGGGCTTATTTCGTTCGTCTAAAATAACAACGCATTCAGCTATTATTTATTAACTCCTGAACCCTCAAGGAACTTAAATTCCATGGTGAACAGTTACGTGACGGCACAGGGCAGGAGTCCAGGCCACCCTCAATTCGCTCTACGACAGGCCTCATCAAAACAGACGTGGTTTGTTTGCTCCTCGCGATACGCTATCGTCCCAAATCATATACTTTTACTGATTTTACGGATTTACGGACTTTTACGAATACTTTTACGAACTTATTGCACGAGACGGATGATAGTTAAAGGAATAAGAAAATGCTTGTTAGCCAATGTTACGAAAAACAAAAATTTTTCCGAAAATGCGCGCACCTGTTCCAGAAAGTTGTCCGGCATTGCGCATTCGTCATTTTTAAAATGTCCAAGACCGAACTGCACAAACAGCAAGCAAATATGCGTTGCATTCAGTCGTTCATTCAGCAAACCATGGAAACTGGCCCACTTTATCAGGATATAGAAGAGATTTCCCAAACCTGAAGCTTAACCATTGATAAAATTGAGGCCCTCTTGCCGCTTCTGATTTTAAGTCCATACAAAATCACAAACGCGCGGTCGGTGTGGGACTATGGTCAACCAGCCTTGGAAGATAACAATGTGAAGCTACCGTCGTATACCGTCATTCAGTTTACTCATAACTACATAGAATTACTACCCTTATCATTTGTTAGTTTCCTCCCCTTCCATCTGCTCCATCACTCTTATTACTTTCACACTTCTGTGCTTTTTCTCTCTCTCTCTTTTTCTTTCACACATCCGTCTTGCAAATTAGTTACATGTCCTTTGAATACATGACAAGGGAGGCTGTACTGACGATTTCCACTCCTACCCACATTTATAGTCTGGTCTGTGTTTACAGCTAAGGGATGAAATACAGGCTGCATCGTAAAATATCACCTTATTACATCTAAAAGATGAAAGACAGTTTGCACTGTAAAATATCACCTTACACATGACAGCTAAGTACAGTCCTTCTGATTTATTATTATTAAGGAAGTGAGTGCTCCGTTCACTCTTTGTTCACAGTTCATTCGAGCATTTTTTGGCTTTTGAAGTGTGTTCGGTCACAAAATATTTTCATTTACTTCCCCGTTTTGACCTCATTTAGCGTGTTTCGCATAACAAAGTGTGATGGATAATTCGAGATTTCGAAGGGAATAAAACAGATGTTATTGCTACATGAGCGATTCGTTGGATACTCGAGAACGGCGGGATTTCGATGATCTAACCTTTATAACGGCTACAGTACGGCAGAAGTATTTTGGCTGCTGTCGGAGCGGATTTCCAAATGGCCAGCATCGTGCTTTGCATGTCCTTTGCGTGAGTCGTGCAATATTCATTAACGAACTGCAAAAAAATGTGAGGAAATCCAGAGAGCAAAGAGGGTTTTGACTGAAAATTTCTATACTTCAGTCCTAAATCTAGCAGTTCTAGTAATTCAGCAATTCAGTCTAGCAATCCTTCAGCTACCAAATCATTTTCAGCGACTGTACTAGCTCAGTGCTCACTAGCCACAAGTACGCTTAATGCTGCAGCACTGGAAAGCGTTTGATACTTTGTAAACTTCTTGTGATAAGCACCACGAGCTTTTCAACAAACAGCCAGTTCTGATGGGCTAAAATGCTGCTAGCCATCTCCATAATAGACAAGCGTTGGACGAAGTCAGTGAGATAGATGAGCGTGTAAAATCAAGTGAATAACAGAGGCCCAAGCCAGAATAGGCGGGGAAGTTTCTAGTTGTATTAGTGGCGAGAAAACACTTATTAAAATACCAAAAAGCCGTTGTCAGATTACCTCGGAGGCGCATTCACCTGTCGGGCCGAAAGGGTGAATGGTGCACACAATTGGCCTGTCGTTGGTGAATCTCATATCACTTTTCACTTTGCGCAAAACATCCCAAGCCAGCCATCCAAATGATAAAACTCGTTGTGGTATATATGTTGATTCACTCCCTGAAAATTCATTAAAAAAATTCGGCTTCAAAACAATTTAACGTATTCGAAAAATTATCCTTAATGATTGGTTCGCAGAACAGGTCACTGCAACTGAATCGGACACAGAATTCTGCTTCTTGATGATCCCCTTGTTTCTGGAGTGAGTGGGACGAACTATCCAAATTTCAGGTTCACTTCTGATTCTCGGTTTTTAAAAAAGGCGGCATTCTTTCCTTCAACTCGGGAATCTATTTCTCGTTGTCAAAAGTTTTATCCTCATGGCTACATTCTAAAGTGAGTATTTGTTTAGTTGCCAAAATCATCCAAATAATGGAGATGCGGTATCTGCAGTATTTGCACACTTGCGACATATGTCTTGCATATGTCTTTGTGCTCATTTAGCGATAAATTTAGGGATAATTTAATTTTAGGGACAATAGGGATAATTTAGGGATAATTCGCAAATATGCGATTTTTGTATGCCTCAAAACGTGTCTCAGAAACGCCTTTACTCAAAATTTAAAAAATTTAGCAGCGGCCGCTCCGAAATTTTACGCATGGTCATGCTGCACCTGTTCAAGATAATCCATTTATTTATGAAGCATTAGCTAACCAGAAGTTAAACTCTGCTCTAAATTTCATTCTTTACGTGAAAAATAATGGCGGAACGGCAACAATTTGCTAGTAGAGCTCCCCTCTTAGTACACAAGGTATTCTTGTCAAATTGCCATTAAAACGCATCATCCATCCGCAAAGTAGCTGTTCTAATACAACACAAGTTTGAACCGATAGCCAGCTCGCTTGCGCATTGAGCTCTCCTCCAAATTATAACGGACAGAGAAAAAAATCAACTCGAAGCTATCCCCAGTCCCGAGCAATTTTCACTATTTCTCCAAATGTTTGCATACTTACGATAAGCGACAATATAATAGGCAGATGCCTTTCTTCGCATTTCAAATGAAGGCGAGAGGCAAATCCTTCGATCCTGCAGGCCTTGACAGTCCTCAAGATCCGGCACCGTATTTCTCATGAAGCCACCAAATTCATCGAAGAAGGCACTACGGTATCTGAAAATTTGTTTTTTTCGCGCCTTACCTGTAGTTTTGTGAGTAAAAATTTTTGGTGGGCTGTGTGAAAAAGTGTCAGAAAGCTTTCTGGACAAGTTCAGCGTGATACGGAGTTCTCTTTTTCTTTAGATGCGTTTTTTGTTTGAATGCGTTTGGAAATTTTCTTGTTGTTTGTTGTAAGAGAAATTGTTTGTAAGGGAATTTTGTTGCTTTGTTGTAAAATTTGTAAAATGCTTTGTAAAGTTTTTTTGCTGTAAAATTGTAAAATGCTTGTAAAATTGTAAAATGTTTTGTAAAATTTGCTTTGAAATTTGTTCTTCGTAAGCAGACTTATTGAAATTTAGCCCATAAAAATCACCTAACTGGCATTAGCACGATTTGTGAGGCGCACGTGCAAGGCCCAGTGCTAACTAATCGCAGCACATATTACACTTTCGAAGAAAACAAAGCGCTTTTAATTTGACATTTATTCGCAAAGTATTCCGAAAAAAAAGCTTACGCCCTGAAAATGGCCGTCACTCTCTTCCTGATCACATGTCTTGTACTGAAAA